GGCCCAAAGTTAAAAACTGTTGTTCTTTTGAGGCCCTCAAGGTGGCGCGCCCATGGGTTAAGAATCTCTGGTGTTGAGGACAACGCTCTGCTACAAACACACCAAAACTTTGCTCAGTATCTGTTAAATCCTCTGAAAAATCAGTTGTAGACGTTAACCTAACATTCAGAAAGTTGTGTTCAAATCTGTTCAGTGGGTCAGGAGATATTTTGCTGACAAAGAAGGTAGATTTCATTAGGTTTAAACACAGATCCAGTCTTGTATAAAGTACCTCGAAGTGATACTTGAGTAAAAGTACAAGTATATTATCATAACATTACTTTGGTAAAAGTTTTAAAGTGTCTGATTTATTTGTACTTAAGTATCAAAAGTAAATTTCTGATATAAAATGTACTTAAGTATTAAAAGTAAAAGTATTGAGTAAAAATGAAAGTTTAGATTTTCCAAAATACATTTTTAAAGGTTTAAAGGTGCAGCTGTGATGGACTGTGTACAAACTATTATGTGTCAGAATTGTATATATTTATACTTGTCATCCAAACACAATTAAATTCAAAGGCACAGTTTATCAGGATAGAATTCTTTTAACAATGAGGAACCAGAATAAAATAGGAGTAATGACTTTCTATTTGTTACCTTTTTTTAAATGTAGTGAGTAGAAAGTACAGATAAATGTGTAAAAATGTAAAGAGTAGGAAAAATTTGGCTGAAAAAAWTTTACTCAAAGTACAGATAAACAAAATTTCTACTTAAGTACAGTAACAAAGTATTCATACTTACTTTACAACTCTGCACAGATCAGTCAGAGCTCAGAGYATCAGGCTCAGTTACTACCACACCATCTTTATGGGTTAATATCCGTCAAACTGATCTGTGGTTATTTTTGTGCTTTGCCGTGGCAGCCATCTTTAATTTGGCTGACCTAAAAATGAATCCTTTGCAACCGATGACATTTTTCATGAAAATCTGTTCAGAGATATTTCAGACAAACACCATCATTCAGGTTGATCATAGAAGAAACATCTGGAACATTTTCAACTTTAATCAGCTGCCAGCGTGATTGTTTTGATTTATGATGAAAAATTAGCTCTTTTGTTTAATTAGCATTTGAAAATTATTTTTAGTTATGACAAAAAAGCCTCTTTGTTATCTTGAGATAATATTATAAAAATCAGTGTTACCAGTGTCCTCTCTGTGTGTTTGTAAACTTCTGTTTGCTTCAAATTAAATCTGCATCTTCTGTGTAATACAGTAATTACTTCCTTGTTTTGGTTCAGATTAAGAGGTAAAGGATTAAAYAAAGACTACATGTGTGTGTTTGTGGTCCAGGTCTGGAACAGTGAGGCGCTCTAACACCAGTCCTATGGGCTTTCCAAAGGTGGGCTCGGGGTGTCCCAGCTCCGCAGACGTCCCTCAAACTGTGAGTCGGCGCCTGTCCACCGGCAGCTCTCGGCCCTACTCCCCCTCGCCTCTGGGTAAGAACGGGTCCGGTCAGGTCTGAAGGCTCGTAGGCCGGTCCTGATGCTGTAACGGCTGTTTGTGTTTGCAGTGGGCACCATCCCCGAGCAGCTGGCTCACTGCTGCTGCCATCTGCAGAACCAGGAAGCTCGCAGCCGCAGCTCCTCAGGAGGTCTGCTGAACAAACTCTACCGAATGTTTTCTTTTGCTCTGATATGCTTTTAATCCAGGGATGCACCATAACTTATTTTAAGAACCGATACTGATAACTTTCTCCTTCTAATGTCCGATAACCGATAATAAACGATAACATGCCAGCAGATAAAACGAGTCAAAAATGAGTAAGATCATAACATAAATATACACCAAAACCAAACGACTCTGTATATTATATTATTTGAAATAAACTCTTAGCAAACAAATATTTCTTAAAATATATCAAAGAAAACAATTTCTCAAATGGTCATTTTTTAAACAAAACATATTAATAATAAAAAGACCTTTAACACTGATCTCAGATTTAAACAAAAGAGAAAAAGTCATTGCACAAGTTCAAAACAGATAATTCACTAATACAAGTTAGATTCAAAGTACATTTGTTTTTATTATTAKTAATATGTGACCCATCATATCAAAATGAGGATCAAGTCAAATTTGGTCAAATTAACCTGATCCCATTTTCTAATTTCTGGCTTTAAAAGCTATATTTTGATACCTGAATCATTCTGATATAAAACCTTCRGTTTTTAACGAGGTGAACRGCTGGYTGTCATCATTTCCATCGTTAAMGTGCTTGAGATCTGCGTCCTCTCTGGCAATTTGTTTGGATTTGTCCAAAGCCTCAGCAATGATATAAGTCCAGACGAGTTCTTGAACACTAGCTTGTTGATGTTAGCATTTTAGCAGACGGACTCTGTGCTGCATTCAGGAGRTAACAGACTTTACATGTTCTCAAGTTGGGAGTAGTTGTTCCAATGTTTATAATTATAAAGTTTGTGTGTAACATACAGGGTTAATTGGTAAAATATTATTAATATTTTTTTAAATGACTGGTTGTTTTTCAACATGGAGTATTCTAATTATTGTAATAGTGAGAAAGTCGTTTTTTCTGAGTCCATTTGAACATTGCTCGGGTCGTGCCGGATGGGAACAGATGTTACACCATATTTTGTGACCATCATATACCGTATTGTGACCAGAGGGGGCGCTGTTGCGTTTCTACAACAGAACTTGGCCGAACATGGGCACAAAGAAGAATATGATAYGCCAAAAGTGTAACCCAGAGGTCACAAAATATGACAACTGTTGTCAGATATTGTGACTTCACTGTAGCTTGGTAAATAATAAAAATATTTATTCGTAAACTGATTCTACTCATTGTATCCATCCTCTAATGCCAGAAAAATAACTTCTGATCACTGACATGTTGACTATTACAATTACTATTACTATTATTACTACTATACATGATAATAGCTATCATATTATGTKACCCTGTACTAATTTAATAACAGTCACCATGTCAGTGATCAAAAGTTATTTTTCTGATACTAGAGGATGTCGTTTTTGAATAAAAAWTTTTACTATTTCCTTAGCTACAGTGAAGTCACAATATATGACAGCTGCCATATTCTGTGACCATGTATAATAACAACAGTCAACAGTTTTTGTTTTTTTCTTTCATATGTCTTCAGCTGTTGGCTTACACTGTTGGCGTATCATATTCTTCTTTGTGGCCATGTTCAGCCAAGTTCTGTTGTAGAAAYGCAACAGCGCCCCCTCTGGTCACAATATATGAGGGTCACAAAATATGGTGTAACACCGGCTTGACCAAAACAGATAAAAATAAACACACATTCTCATCTCCGTGCTAGCAAACACATACAGATATTATCGGTTTTGTTAGTTCTGATATTGGACCGATAAGTGTGGGGCACCCCTGTTTTAAATGTCTGATAATAAATAATAAAGCCTCACCTGCTCTCCTTCCGGCTGACAACAGATGAATTGTTCTAATGTCGCCTCTTCCTGTCAATAAGAACTGAATCAGATTTGAACAAAACCAGAATATACTGTAGGTTTGTAAAATGTTTTATAATAATTGAGCTGATTTTAATTCTTTATTTCAGGTTCTCCTGTTCCGTCCTCTCAGCTTCAGAGCGCTCACACCCTGACAGAGGTCTACCAGACAAGGCAGAAGCTCCACAAGCAGTTGTCGGACCCCGTGCTGCCCTCCTCCTGCAGTCACTCCCCTCAGCTGGGCCGCACAGCCAYCCTGGGCTCCTCTCCTCGGATGTCTGACTGGCTGCAGAAGTCCCCTCTGCCCACCATCATCGGGTCTCCCACCAAGGTGCGAGCAGTTAGTGATGTGTGCAGACGGTCRCTGACAAACCAGATCCTGTCTGATTTTTACCTGCTTCCCTTCAGATCATTTCAGCTCCATTCAAGATCCCCAAAACTCAAGCTTCCTGTAATCTGATGGCCCTGGCCGACTCCCCGCTCCCCAGCAAGACCCATAGCGGCGCTCGAGATCTCTGCACCCACCACTGCAGCCCACACCTCACCGGACAGGCGGCTGCCCCTGAGGCCAGCAGGATCATCGGCAGGTAGGGTTGTCAGTGGGACCGGTGGTCCTGAGCAGGTCTCCAGCCCAGTCCAGCTCAGTCTAATAGTGAACGTTAAAGTACCTGTGACGTGCAGAAAACATTGTTATATTTAAGAAACTTGGCATGACACACACGGTTTTACTCATTTTGTCACATAACTGGCAGATTTTCTTCAGAATTTGGCCCAGCCAAAGTGAAACAGGAAGTGACATCAAAGGGGAATTCTTTAASAAATGAAACTCCACGTTTTATTTTATTTTATTTCATTGTAACATTATTTGAACTCAGAGTCTTCATCTCTTCAATAGACTCAAAATAATCTAAAGAAACATCAGATTCTTTACAGTCTGTGTTATCTTTGAAGCATTGAAGCAACACTGTTCACATGCAGACATTCCCCTTTGACATCACTTCCTGTTACTTCACATGCAAATATCTCAACAACTGTTCATCTCAGCAGTGTAAAATTATTTTTGCAATACGTTGTCAATGTCGTCTTTTCAAAAATGCATTCATATTTATTGCAAACATTTCATGTCCCAGGCACTTTAAGTTGTTTACACCATCAGTTAGAGATGCAGYTGCAAATCAGTAATGACCTGGTCAGTGAACGCACCAACCACAGACACTCTGGAGTTAGCTGTGCTGTCTGAGGTGTTTGTGGAGATGAAGTTAGAGTTTCAAGTGGGTTTTACCAGGACAGAAGACAGGTTTGGTTTCTGCAGACAGAAGAGACGACTTCATCTGTCTGCCATTAAACACAGATCAGGATGTGAGCAGCTTGTTGAATCAAGAACACTTTCATTTAAGGTGGGCATACACCTCTGGTCCTCTAACAACAATGTTACAGATGTTAGTTACAGTAAAATGAGAGAATAATTTATTTCTGTATCATCTGCCTGATTACATTAACATGAAAGAGTGGTACAGTGGATGAGACCGGTCCATAACCGGCTCTTCACTGAGCACCGGTTCAGTTCAGTCTGAGGGAGGCGAGCTCTTCTCCATATTTACTGCCTGCTGTATGATGCAGGACAGTTGGGTTTTAGTAGTGATGGGGAGAAGATTGGACCTGGATGAATGTAAATAAGAGTGGATTCAGTAATGGATGTTGGACAAAGGACATCCTCTGACCCTGGATGCTTCAGGTCTCCTCCTTTTCGACACACAACTTAAAGTGAAGCTGTCAGTAAAGGCTGAGGGTTACAGGAGTCCAGACTTTTTTTATGTGGCAGTTTATTACATAAGAAATAAAAGCAAATAATAAACAAAAAATGACTGTCGTACACAACAGGTCAGAAGTTCAGCAGAGCTCAGAGCGTCTGCAGGAGCTGCAGCTCAGAACAAACAGCCTGGGCTTTAAATAACTGGGGGTTTGTGGTTTGTGCAGATTCAGATCATGAGCCAATAAGCCTGCAGGAAACTCTCGTGATCAGAGCGTGTATAAACCCCAGAGTCGAACTACTGATGTGGGCTCCATGACCCCAACGCACCAGATTACCCAGAACAGAAGCAGACAAGAAGAGATCTTATGACCAAACAGTCAAACCAAATCATTCTTGTTCAACAAATGAAACGTATCAAATCCTCTGTAATAAGTTAGGATATATAATGAAATAATACAAATATCTCTATACACAGATAGGCTCAATATTCCTCAGAATCAATAACATAATTTTTCATTTACAGTATGAGTATTTATCTGTGTCTGTGATGGACTGGAGACCTGTCCAGGTGCCCCGCCCCCCTTTTTACTTTTTTTGTTTTTTATTTTTTTTGTCCCAGTGACTGCTGGAGACAGGCACCAGCTCCACTTAACTCTGCTCAGAATAGTGATAAAGTGAAGAAAACAAATGTCTGGATATTTTGTATTCTATTAATGATGGTTCTTTGAAGTAGTCTGAGCTGTTAGAATATTAAAATTTTGACACTGGAGATAAGATAAGAAGATAAGATAAGATACGATACGATACGATACGATACGATAAGAAGATAAGATAAGATATGATAC